CCCACCCAAACCAGTCTGGGATTTTACTGATCCTCGTGGGCAGCGAGCAGCCTTCTCCGCCATGGAAGGTGCGTGGGACCGTTCTCCTCCGGGAGGAGGAGCGTCGCTGTACGTGGTGCCGGGGAGAGGAGGAAGGTGAGCGTGAGGCCTGGGGCAGAGGCCTGGTGGTGCTCCCCGCCGTCCTGCCCCAGCATTGCCCACCCCTGGGGATGGCCATGTCAAGCGGGAGCTCTGCCTGGAGGATCCCTGCTCCAGCCGTGTCGGGTGTCTTTGCCATCAGCGCGTTCTTCCATGAAAATTCCTACAGCGCTGCTCCCATCTGAGCCGCCTCGGAGGCTGCGTTTTGCCCTGGAGAGGACGAGCACAAGGCTTGGGGCAGCGCTGTGCCCATCTCGGGGGGCAATCGCTCGAGGGCAGGTGGTGGCTGCTCAGGGCGGGGGGCTGAGGCAGGAGATAATGCAGATGTTTCCAGGGGATGTGCTCGGAGGACCCCAAGTCCCCTGGTGACAGCACGGCCTAAAACCGTAGCTCAGAGTTACGGCATGGCCTGCTCACCTGGGAGGCTGTTCCGGCCGCTGTGTCCCTCTCAGGTGCTTGGATTTTCCCATCATTTTAAAGCACTAATGCAGATATCACCGCGTCCCTGCGGCTGCGGAGCGCAGCACTGCGCCCGTGCTGCCTCTGCCTAGCTGGTTTGCCTGGACAGATCCATTGGGTAATCCTCCTGCTTTTTTTGCAGCTAGACCTTTCAGGGCCACATCCATGGAAAAGCTTTTTCTGATCTGCGGGGATAAATGACAGTTGTTTCCAGCTTTTAAAGCTTGGCACGAGCCAGGCGGGTTTCCCAGAGCGAGTTCCAACGCATCCTCCAACAGGGCTGGTGGGTGAGTGGGGGGAGAGGCCGAGCCCAGCCTTCCCCCCGTGTCCGTGGGCAGGAGGACAGTCAGCAAATGCCCGTCCCTGCGTTTGGGGATGGGAGGTGGGTGCTCTTTGCTGACCCCCTCACCAGCCTGCTGGGGGTCTGGCGTCCAGCTCTGGGGTCTGACTCGTGCTGGTGCATCGTCCTTGCGCTGCAGAAGGGGTTTTTTACCCTTTTACTTTAAATCTTAAGAAGGAAACACGATATATTCGCTGAACGGCCGGGTGACATGAAGTCCCTGTGAGTTGTACAGCGACCCTGGAATCGAAGACACAAGGAGGACTGAGGAAAACCAGATGTTTAAAGCATGTTACAAGCGCAGGAATCTTGGTTTTACAGCCCAAATACCATTGCTCTAATTTCAGGGCAGACGGGGAAGCTGATGTACGTGATGCACAACTCCGAATATCCCCTCAGCTGCTTCGCTCTCTTTGAAAACGGTCCCTGTCTCATCGCAGATGCCAACTTTGATATCCTTATGGTGAAGCTGAAAGGCTTCTTCCAAAATGCCAAGGCCAACAAGATAGAGAGCCGGGGCACCCGCTACCAGTACTGTGACTTCTTGGTGAAGGTGGGCACGGTTACAATGGGTCCCAGTGCCCGTGGGATATCTGTGGAGGTAAGAATTGTTGTTTGAGGGTGTGAAATACAAGTGCGGAGAGGGAAATCCTGCGGTGGAGGCTAGAGGAGAAATCCCCTGTCATTTCTGTGTCGCGGCTGTGTTGCTCCTTGCTGGTAGTTTGTGCTAGGTGCGTGCGTGTGTGCAGCAGGCGGGGTCCTTACTTCCTTTTTGTGACGGGGTTGAATCCTGGCGGGTGCTGCGGGGCTCAGCTACGGAACAGCCTGTCCTTGAGTGTTGATAAATCCCTGAAGGGCTGCCACCAAACTAACAAACTGCTTAAAGTCCTGATGCGCAGCACTGGTAGCGCACCCCAGGTTAGTAAGGATACCGAGGGGGTCAAAATAACCTCTTTGGCTGCTGGTTCGATGATGCGGGTTTGTTTTCTTTCTGCATCTCAAGCGGACAAATCCCTGGGCCCTGGGAGAGCAGGGCCCTTCTGCCCCAGGTTCTGCTCACGCGGCGCAGAGATGCTTCTGGCGGGTGTCAGTCCTCCACCCCCACGGCGTGCCGACCTGGATTGCGGCAGCGTGCGGTGCTCCGCGGGCATGAAGCCTGCCGTCAGACCTCTTCTGTGCCGTGGCTGCTGCTGAGGCTCGAGGGCATCGGTTGCCAGCTGCTGACGGGCGTTTCACGGGGCGGAGGCTGGGCTGAAGCAAACTACAGGGAGACCCTTCAGCGTACGCAAAGGGGCGCGGGATGATCCACCAAGGTGTTGGGGGAGATGGTTGGCTGAGTGCAAGCGTGAGTCGAAGGCTCACAAACCATGCATGAGCCTCAGCGGGGCTGAAAAACATCTCGGAAAAAGACAAGGAGCTGGGCAGCACTGTATGGGAAGGGCAGAGCAGAGTGGGTCAGACCGCAGACACCGACATGTGTTGGTGCCTAACAGCCTTCAAGATACTGAGAATTAGATGCTTAAAAGTCCTTCTGAATCAGAGCTTATGCTTTTCTAAACACCCAAACTCTACTATCTGATATGATTATCTGATATACAGTTAATAATAACGCTGCGTCTGCTCAGGCCTGTGTTCCTAGCCAGCAGGGAGAAGGGTTGAGAAATGGCTTGTTGCATCACTGCAATAAACACAGAGCCTGTAGCTATTGACCTGGGGTGAAACAGGGCTTGTTTTACCCTAAACTTGAGTTCAGGACCAGCTTTGTCAGACATTCTGGTGGTTTCTGGTTTAGTTTAGCAGTTTTTTCAGGGTTTGCATTAGGACCTGCTCGTGATTTGGGACCAGGCTGGTGTTGAGTAAAACACTTCAAGTCCTTAAGTCCCAAGGCTTTTTCCAGTACATTCCCAAAAGATGTTGCAGCCACACGAGTCATCAACCTACCAGCCTGTGGGAATGAAGTTTGGTGTTGGATAGAGTAAAGTTAACGTAACGTTTGAAGGAACTGTCCCAGGACCTCTGCTACTGGGGATTTAATAAAAACAATGCCCTTACAGGGGACGTTTTACCTCCCCTTCTCTTTAGAAGGGATTGCTGGGTGTTCTTAACGTGTCCCATTCACTTCTGTTTGTCCATCCATAGATGCTAAATATTCTCAGGTGTGTTTATGGAAAGCATTCTCTCTTTAGCGAGGCGGAGAGAGGAAAGTCCGTCGCCTCCTGCGTGGTTCTTGCCCCTGCTGTGAGCTTCAGGGCTGTGGTTTTTGTTGGCAGGTGGAGTACTGCCCCTGCGTGATAGCCAACGACTGCTGGAACCTGCTGATGGAGTTCATGCAGAGCTTCATGGGGAACCACACTCCCGGCATCCCCTCCGTGTTTGGCACCAGGCACGACAGCATCTACAGCCCGGCGGACACCATGGTTCAGTACATGGAGCTGTTCAACAAGATCCGCAAGCAGCAGCAGGTGCCTGTGGCGGGGATCAGATGAAAGGACTCCCAGGAGCCCGGGTTGGAGCGACCACGTCCTCTGCCTGCACGGTTGGATGAGAAGAACCTCCAAAAAGCAGCACCGGAGGCAGCCCGAGGTTTTTTGTCTTTCCCCGTTTCAAAGCAAAGGTCTCTGCTGTGTGGGTTTCTTGTCCTCCTTCGTGGTTTTGAGCGTGGCTGGGATCAGGCCCACGGTTCTGGTGGTTTTTTGTACAGCGCCTCGTGCAGGGGATTACTGTCGGCAGGAGGGAAGAGGAGAAATTCCGGCCAAGCGCGTGCTAGGGCAGAGTTTCCTTGGCTGCGCGTAGCAACACGAGAGGCTTTTTAATTGTGGGGTTTAGATATCCACGTGAGAGAGTCCTGTTTTTCATCAAAATAAAAAGGTGTATTTTGTGAGGGGACGGAGTCTGCGCAGCGAGTGTTGTGCTGGTTGGTACTGTTTATTTACAGCCTCCGAAACTTTCCGTTGCACGGAGACAGTTATTCCGCAGAGTTTTCTCTTGATTTGGTTCAAGAGCTTTATACCCCGGAAGCAAACTAATTTCCCTGTGGCAAAATCTATGGGCATTCTCACATTCCTATTATAGGCATGTTCTCAGCTTGCCTTCATCTTCTGTATCTGATGGGAGTATTAACATCTTCTGCCTCTCAGATGATGCCAACGAAGCCTCATGATAAATAAATAAATAACTGCGCCTGGCAGGAGCCCCCTCATGCACTGAAAGAGAATTCCACCTGCTTTAGCTCATTGGTTGAAGGGCAGGTAATAAATGGCCTATGCACACCATTCCTCATTTCAGGTGACTTCAGCAGATTTAATGGAATAAGAAGGATTTGGGGAACCAAAGCCAAAAATTGATTATAAAACTTAATACGCTATCACTTTTTTGTATTTTTTAGTAGTGGTTTATTTTTACAGTAGGAAATTGGATCCCTTGTGAGCTATGTGTCCCCTTGGTTTTACTTGGACAGTGTCTGTCTGGCTTGTAGCTGTCATTTTTTAATTCTCCTCCTTGCTCCGTGTCGGAATACGCAGAAACACCCCCATTCTGCCACCAGCCTTTGCGCTGAGCTTCCTTGGCGGTTCCGGGGAAGGCTGTGTGCAGCGGGGTTCCAGCTCTGCAACTCGCGTCCCAGACGTAAAGGGCAGGTGTAGTGGAGGTCTGAGGATGGTTTTAGGAAGGGGGGTTTGCAAGGACGGCGGGTTCCTCCTGAGGAAGCTTTGTGCATCTTGCTCGCAGAAGACACCCTGGGTTCCTTGCCGACGTGTGGGCCTTGAAGAGCAACTAAAGCAGAAATTGGTTTCTCCTAAATAGACTTTTTTCCTTCTAAAGCAGATGTTTTGTTACTTGGTTTGCTAACTGGTGGAAAACTAGTTATTTAGATATGACTTCTTCATGATTATCACTTATACCTGTAAGCCTAATTAACTGTTAGAGTGCCTACAGCTTTTACTGTGGGCATTTAATAAGTTTAATCAGCGCTGGGTCCAGAAAGATCTGGTTAATGAGCCATAATGACACAACGTACTCGAAGTGTGTTAGAAATTCCAGTGTGCTGAATATACCAAATATTTGCAACTCTTGGCACGCTTCAGCGGGACTGTTAATTTTCAGTGATGAAAATACAGTGAGAATCTGACCCACTGTCATTCCCCGTAGTTAAGTGTGGCTGGGAAAACTTAGGAAAACGAACTCTAGTCTTCGTCAGGATCGCTATTTCTGCCCTGCTTCCCATTTTAAGTCTTCAGGTTAAAAAAACCCAACCTTTTAATGATCAGATTAGTCATGCTGAATGTTGGTAATGCTTTGTTAACTCCCGGAAGACGCGTTCCGTAACCAGAGATGTCAAAACTCTGCTCACGTGTCTTAAAAACATAAAACGTGTGCTGGAATCTCTGGGGAATTCTGTGCTCTTATTCATAGATGGTACTGTTCCTAGAGTAATAAAACGGGACCCCTCCAGCTACATTCTGCCTCCAATTACACCGTTACAGCCACTGACGTCAGCAGGTTACCACGTGTGTAAGGTTGGGTAGGATTTAGCCCTTTATGTTTTACCAAAAAAAAAAGTCTGTTGCCGCAACTGCGTTCTGTGAACGAGGGGATCAGCCGCCTCACATGAGAGGCTTTTACTCTGGGGCTTTACGCTTTCTTGATGGACAAAATGACCGGTTTTCAACCTTATTAGCTGCAGTAATCCTCGTTCTGCCCCGCCTCCCCCCTCGACGTCGTCAATACAGCAGGTTAACGTGGCTTGGAAAGTGCTAGTCTGCATCTTAACAAGTCTTCAGGGGGCTTTCAATTGTGTTACCTTAATGGATTGAGGCAGTGTAATTGAAAACCACCCGACTTTGCCTCTCAAGGCATGGTCTGGAAGGTTGTTTTCCCGTTGCTCTCCAGTGTGTTTTCCCAGAGAATGCGAGATCTAGAGGAAGAAGTGGCCGAGCTGTATTCCTGTACCACTGTGAATCCTTTTTTCTGCTTCTGCACCTTTCAAAAATCACTGGCACTGGTGTTTTCCGTGAGTTGAAGCCTGGCTTAGAAGGGACTGGGGAGCCTGGGGATGTGGATCTCATCTTTGCATCGTTACAGCTTTCCCCACCCTAGCTCAAAGTAGAGGCTGGGTGATGTTACCAGGGTCACCAACGCATCAGTGGCAGAGAGTCTCACTGTGCCCCTGGGGATACTGTGGGCTTTTTTTTGTGCTGTGGCATTTTTTCTGAGGAAATACTTACATAGCTGCACCCTGCTGTGCTTTACAAAGGGAGTGAGGACGTCAGGGCCTCGTAAATCTTCAGTTTTAATTCTTAGCAGACGTTACAAACTGAGGGCTCGTTGCAGTGGGAAGCTGTTGAAGAGTTGAGAGGTTTGTGACTAGGTTTTCATACAGGTGTGGGTTCAAAAGCGACCGAGCACCAGTCAAAAAGGGAAGGTGTAGAAAAAGGATGGCCAAGCTCCTAGGAGTGGAATTTGTGGGAAGGCTGGCTGGTGACGGAGCTCACAAGGAGACCACCAGACTGTGGAGTGTCCTTGTGCCATGGCAGAGGAAAGCAGGCTCTCGCCTGTCACAGTAAATCGCAGTGCTTTGCCTCAAAACTTAGTGGGAAGATGTGAGGAAACACTTTGTCCCTGTGCGAAGGAGTCGTGTTTCTGACACCGCCAACCTGTGCTTCGTGCTGTCAGCGCGGTGCGGTCCATGACTGCTTGCTTGCAGCTGTGTCCCGGTCAGTGCTGCCTGGAGAGCAGGATTTGCCTCCTACCGCTGCGAAAAGAGTGAGTTGTCTCAGTGGGTGCGGGTGACTCCCAAGTGTGGCTGTCCCTTGGGGACAGGCTTCTCCCGCGGTCTCAGTGCCCAGGTCCCTTTGTCTCTGGTGAAACACATCTCCATCCCCTCGTGGCTCCTGCGCTGTGTGACCTAGGAGCCCTGCTGACAAAGGTTGGTGTGGCTCGGGGGGCCTTGTCTGTGTGCCACTAGTGCTGCAGGTGGCCCTGTGGGGTGCCCACCCCATCACCTCGTGTCCCTGTCACCTCAGAGTTCCCGTGGGACACCCCCTGCCCGTCACCTCAGGGTCCCTGTGGGGTGCCCACCCCCGTCACCTCGGGGGGTATCTCACGCCCCACACAACCACCTCAGGGGCCCTGCGGGAACGCGCCACCTCCCGCGCTGCCCCTTTAAGAGTCTCTTTGTCTCCGAAACATCCTTATTTACCCTCCTGTGACTCAACCAAACTTCAGCCTGGGATTCACAAAGCCCGGTACGTCACCGGCCGGGGGCCGGGCCCGGGCAGTTCCCGCCCCTCGGCGCTGCCCTCCCGCTACTCGACCGTAAG